ATACAGGTGATCGTATGCAGCTGACAGATGAGAAGACACTAGTATCAGCTTGTAAAGTACTGGAGGATGGGAACAGATTCACTCTATGGGCTTATGATGCTACTGATACTCCAGCTGTAAGTCTACATTCAAAAATTTTAATTACACTTTGACACTTCCTTGTTTACATGTGCATGTACATGTATATGAACGATTTTTGATTAATTAATATTTTGTCAATATTTGATGCATTGAGCTGGTATCAGTATAATCCCCTTCACTGAAGCAAAGAGGTACAAATACCAGACATAGTCAGTAATTAATAATTATGGATGTCATTATCCTTTTAACAACAAAGTCACTGCTTCTTTGTTGTTGTTTTTGTTGTTATAATTTGTTGTTGTTGTGATATCATACTGAACTGTGGCTGCATAGTTCCTGACTTTGATACTACTGGCTTCTATTGATACAGGAGGATCATACAGTGTAGCCTCTATATAATGAACACTCTCTACTTTTATAGCAGCTAGACGACTCATTACATGAACATGTTGACGTACATTCTGGGTCGCATTCTAAGTGAGCTAAAAAGCATTAGCATCATGAGCTGATAATTATCTCTATAATAAGATATGGCTTTTGGAGCAACTTCAAAAATTAATAAAAAATATTTTGTTTTGACAGTAATTATTCCACAAACAGAATCAGCTTCCTCCATTATTAATTTATTGACTTATCATTGTTTAGACTAATGGTGATGCTAATGGAGTGTCCACTTCCCCAACTGGTGGTACATCAACTGGTAGAGAAGTGGTTGCTATTGGAGACTACACAGCTCAATATTCTGATGAACTGACCTTCTCTGAAGGAGAAATAATTCAAATATTAAAAGAAGGTAAGAAATAATGACAGGAACTGATCTGTAGTTATAATTGTACTCACTGAACAACAGCAGCTGCTGCATATGTACACGTACATGTACATGCATATACATGTACATGTACTTACATGTATTACTGTTTAGTGGGTAATTATAGAGGTGCTTATATTGGGTGATCATCTATTATTGTATTAGTCAGTGGTGTATTGGGAGTTTAATGTAGCAGCCATGAGTCATTGAGCATGTGAAGAATAAAACAAAATGGAGTGGATTATAACTTATCTTCATGATTTCAGCAATATTGAATCATCATTAATAATAGTCTAAATAACTTGATTTTCACTGTTTTTATTAAATAATTTATTATTCTCCATCTCTCTCTCCCTCAGTTGATGATAACTGGCATGGTGTGTGTCAGGATAAAGTTGGTATATTTCCAAAGACTTACGTCAGAGAACCTTAACAACAACCAGCTGCTAACAACCAGCTCTACCTGCTCCTCTTCCTCTCTCTTCATGATCCTCTCTTGTAGTCATTAGCTGTTTATGAGTTAATCAATTGTTGTATTTGACATCATTTTATTTTATTCACTGACAATTATGGTATTATTTTATTTTCTTGCTGTTATTATTGTGATCTATTACAATTATCTATTCTATTATTCATTGTTGCATGTGAAGTGTATTGAATCTATTGATAATGAATTCCTGATGTGTGTTGTGCACTTCTAGTAAAAACTAATTAACTATCAATGAATCTAATTAACTGATCACAAGATGTCGTTAGAGGACAAGTGTTGGGTTGCGTTTGAGTATGGGCTGCATGAAGAAGCTGTTCGCTTACTACCATTAGTGAAGGAACAGAATAAAATTAAAGGAAGATATGGGTGGGATAATGTAAGTTTACTTCATTTGTCTTCAAGGAATGGCTGGTTAGATGTTACAAAAGATCTCATCACTAAATATCACTGTGACCCACACGAAAGAGATGGTTGGGATTGGACTTGTCTTCATTATGCTGCACGAGATAATCATGTTGATGTGATGAGATATCTCATTGATGAGTGTCACTGTGATCCAATGGCTGTTAGCCGGGCCAGTTGGACACTTCTTCACGTTGCTGCTAGTTGTGGTAGTTCTACAGCTGTTGAATATTTACTATCAACTGGTAAATGTGATCCATTGGCTAAAAACAAGTATGGGGACACACCATTTAAACTAGCTAAGGAGAGTGGTAAAAGTGATACTCTTTCTGTCT